ACACACACACACACACATACAGTTGACAGGATATTTCTGTTGACAGGCTCCCGCGATAATCGCAGGGCCAGCACGCAGACAGTTCATCTTTAATTTAGGGAGAGTACATTATGCCCTTGCTCCAACTTAACGAGCCTCTACAATGCGACAGTGCTGCTGCATTTTTACAGTGATGGAACTATTATCACCAGTGACAGAAAACTGGCTTTTTATTTCTAGTCCTCGTTGTTTCATCCCTCGCTCCGAGTCCAGGTGAAGGTTACCACCCCTCATTTAAATGCATGCACACACAGCTACAGACTCACTGCAGCAAAGTCAACCAGGTGGCGAGAAGTAGAGCAGGCCCCAAGGGTTTGGCAAAGGGCTGTTTGAGGGGGGGCAGGGATGTTTTTTTTTTTTTTTTTCTGGGGACAGGACACCCTATACTGCCTCCCCCCTCCCCCCTCTGTGCCCCAGTTAAGGGACAAAGATAAATCACCCTAGGAGCAGACGGAGAGAGGTTGGCATTGGCTGGCGTTCTCTCCCTTGTCGCACTCTCGGTGTCAGCCATGTTGGTGTTGATCTGCCAAAGAAAGGCTCAGGGTTGATTTTCTGGGTTTCTGGGTTCACTCTGACCCCTGCTTCGTTTTAAAGAGAAATGTTGGTTGTTACTCAGGTAACTTAGAATTATATATCTTCAAATGTTTTAATTACCTATCACAGAACACTACTGGAGGAATTTGATATTAGTTTTTATTATAAGTAACTGGTTAAAGATGAACAGTCAACGTGCATTCAGTAGACAGCTGGCAAACACACGCTTCACCTGTCAGCTGAGATCATGTCAGGTTCCATCATATGTCAAGTTTGATACAGCATCTGGAAATTACACTGACATGCATGCCATAGTTTGATTCAATCCAATCAAGGGAAAGGTCAGAATATTTGTTGTGTAAACCTTTTAATCAGTTTCATGCTTTCAGTCATTAACAGGTTGGATTCAATTAAAACAGAGATTAAATAGTTGTTTAACGTTTTCCTTTGCAATAAGCAGAGTGGAGTGGGAGCTGAAGCGGTGAGTGTCAGTGACTTGTTTGGGTCAGAGCTGCAGATCAAAATCAAACGTTGAAGTTCAAACTTTAAACTGCATCTAGTAAAAACTTGAAAGGCGTAACAGCTCGCCCTCACCCTCTTTGCTCCCAGAGCGGGGAACATATTTCTCCTGATGTTTCACGTCAACTTCCTACAGCAATTTATTTTCAGTTATGTGACCATTGGCAGTAAAGCTGTTTTCTTTAGAAGCATCAAAGTGTGTGTGTGTGTGTGTGTGTTGTGAGGACTCAAAGAGAGTAAATGAATCAAGAAACTGGCCTTTACTATTTGCAGATTGGCACAGCAGAGTGGTGTGTGTGTGTGTGGGCGGGAAGGCACTGACCCTCTTGGTTTTCCTCTTTTCTATCAGTAGTAATCATCAAACATGCTGTTTGTGTGTGTGCGTTCATTTCTGAGTGATTATATTACTGCATTTGTAAATTACGGCTGTTATGTAAAACCCTCATGCTATTTTGGCTGATATCCATGTTTTCATTGGAGGTGAAGGGCTGTGTGTTAATCTGTGAATTTACTAAATTACACTCTGCATTAGGTATTCTTTCTCTTCTTTGTCCATAATATATTACACAGAAACCTATTAAGCCATTCACACAACACGAGGACTAATTGAATTATTTGAGTGAAAATTATTTCCAGCTCCTAGTTTGATTACTTGAAATATTGTTTTTATTTTTAATCATCTATCAACTATTTTATTATCATCCAGAGTTTATTGTGAGCAGTTTGTGGAAAACTATAACATATAAATATGTAAACATAAAACGTAAATATGTATATCTGATCTAAATGTTGTATGGTGATAAAATCATCATCATCTCTGAGTGCCCTCCTAGTTTTTAAGACTCTCTCTCTCTCTCTCTCTCTCTCTCTCTCTCTCTCTCTCTCTCTCTCTCTCTCATGTGTGCGTGTGTGCACTCCAGGTGGAGGATCTGGAGGCCCAGCTGGGGCATCCTGCTGCCACTCAGACTGGTAGAGAGGAGCTGAACCGCTCACTGGAGGAGCTGGAGGCCCTGCTGAGTGCCAGAGACCAGGCAAGACACCCAGTCTGCTGCATACACTCCACACTGTCCAAATCCACTGAATTTAAAAGCCTTGCATGAAGCTCATTGTGGGGAGCAAGCACAAACTACACCAAAGCCAGTATTGAGACTGTTCTGGGTTTTAAATTTTAGTTTTTATCTTATCCTAAAGATAATTAATCCTCAAAATGTTTTTAAAAATCCACAGAAGTGGATATGGATAAATAAGAAGAATGTCTGTTTTGACATTTGTTTCGAGGTTTTATAAGACATTTATCTTGTTCCGTTGCTGTTGCTTTATTGCTTTAGTCGACCTAAAGAGAGGTTTTAGTAAAATAAGATAGGATAGGACTCAACATCTTCCCGAATCACCTTTATAACCTTTTCCATTCATGCTTTAATATTCATTTTCATGGTGAAAAAGGTTAGTTTTTGTTTGGACCAAGTCATTGTCCATCACAATGCATGCTGGGTACAATCAGCCAAAAGCCATTTTGCCTGGATACATAAACAGGATATTAAAATGAAATATTCATTGAAAACAGTTGCCTCATTAATATAACCATGGCTGTCTCACCATTTAAACTATACCTTTGCTTTTGGCTGCTGGATTTGTGCAAGGGGATGACGGCATGTTTCCCTGGAGGCAGAATCCACCTCCTCCTCAAAAACATCAAGGTGTCCCAAATCTCACCACCAACCTGGTGCATGATTAATGACTCAGCGTCCGTATTTTGGTGTGAAACAAAAGACGAGTGCTGCAATATAAATCAGGATGTTGGGTGTGTTGGTATAAATTGGAGGTGCTTTGGTGTAATAACGGTTTGAAATTACTTGTGTTTGCAGGAAATTCACAATCTACAGAGCAAGAAAACAGATGTGGGTGAGCTGGAGAGGGAGAGAGAAGACGCCATGCAGAGACTCCAGGTAACTGACGTGCAGTAATGTTTGTTAGAGTTTCCTAACTCAACACATTGCTTTCTGCTAGTTGTGTCCTGTATTTATTTATTCATCATTTATTTAACCTGAAAAGTCCCGTTGAGATACAATATCGCTTCTGCCGGGGAGTGGTGATAGCAAAATGAATAAAAGAGTTGTATTTAGAAATACAAGCAGGGACAGATAACAGAAAAAACCTCTGCCTAGGCCCAACTGTCCCCTTATGAAACCAAATTTAAATTCACAGGATTTTATTATTTGAGGCTCATTCAACCTCGATGGCCAAAGAATTTATTTTAGTACAGTATAACGTACATGATGTTTATATTAACTTCAGATTGGTTGACAGGAATTGAAATTTGCTTATTTACAGGAAGGGAGATAGACGATGATAAATAAGATAAAATCTCATTTTCAAGCACTTTTCTTTGCTAAGAGGTCACCAGTTCAGTCTTTCAAGCATTTTCTTTTAAGTCCTCCTCTTGTGCAAACTGCTGCTGGTTTGTTTATGTATCAACTCAAAGCTTTTTCATGTGGTAAGAAGTTTTTTGTTTTGTACTTTCACTGTCTTGCCTCTGTAATGGCTTCCTCTGTTTTCAAAGCACTGATGATTTACTCTGAAAAGAGACCACTGATGCTGAACTCAGAGACAGTGCAGCTCAGACCAGCAGCAGAGTCGGTACAGGTGAAGTCAGGACTTCAAGGAGAAAACAAATTATATTGAATTACAATGTTAATGCAGGAGGATAAACCTGATACATCTTGCATCCACTTGATTGGGTCCTCTGTCATTTTTAGTAGCAGTGTCAGTGGTGAATAATGTATATTCACGATTAACCTTCGTTGTCCTTGTGCTCATTCCCTAATCTATTCATTGGTTCATTTGGCCTTGAGAACAACATTAAACTGCACATTTGGATTTGCAGTATAAACACTTTTAAGCACTTGTAAAGAACTTCTTAAGGAGCTACACACAGCAAATGACACATTTGCATTACGGAAATGCATACCAAAGAATACGTTACTGCAAGTCCACGATAAGATGTTTTGTCATTTATGGACAGAATTGACAAAAGTACTACATTACATTTGGCAATAATACTGTATTGATCATTCATTGTGTCTGCAGGATCTAGAGAGACGAAACACTGAGCTGGAGGACCGGGTTCAGAGCGCCGAGAACACACTGGCCTCCAGCCAGGAGGAACGGGAGCAGGCGGAGGTCGAGGTCAGACGCATCATCGAGGCTCTGGACGTCAAAATCTGTGACCTGAAGGACCTGAGACAGAGCTTAGAGAAACTGGTTGACAAATAGCCTCAGTTATGCGGTTGGGCTGCATCTCCACAGTCAGAGCCCGTCTCCTTCATGTGGCCTTGATTTGTGGAAGAGAAGGAATCAAAGCAATATGAATCAAGGAGGGAAACATACAGGCCTTTACCTTCATGGAACATTTTTTTTAGGATCGGTGCAGGAAAACACACAAATCAGAAACCTCTTACAGGTGCAGAATAATCCATCTGCACCGTGCATCATTGCCACTTTATCCTTGGAATAATTATCATAAACATAATTAGGTTTGGTCTAATTGGCCACTGCTACTTGTTTTTACATTTCATAATTCCCACCAGCTGCACGTCCTTCAGTCCCTCAATCCTGAAGAGCATGAAATTATGTTTTCATCCTCCATCACTGACAACTCATTTAAAATAGTTGAGGTCCAATAGCTCTGGAATAACAGCGCCCTCCTCCTCATTTTGATGTCATAGCAGCGAGGTGTGAACGGATAAAACCTGACCTGGTGGTTAATGGAATAAAAAAGTACTGAGCAGAAGCTGAAGGACCCTTTAAGTCTTTTTCAGCAGAGGTCTCATGTTTTTATGGTTATTATAGTGATGCCTCAAAATGAATGATGAATTTTTCCCAGCAATACACAGTTCTGCACAGAGCACCTTTAAAGGAGGATTTGGTGTTTTGCAAAGACACTTTCAACACGTTCCAGAGTATTTTCTACATGCTCGTTAGTTTTTTTGTGTTATCTATTATTATTTAATACAAAATCTATTATGACCTGCTTCTCAATTTCTTGGCTTATTATTTTATTGACGGAAGAAGCGAGAGGAGGAGCAAGACTTGGGAACAATTAAAAACTAACAGCCTGTCAAACTAACAGCAGGAGTTGCATCAGGGATGGTATGGTTGAAAAATAAAGTTTTATGGACGATTACATTTTATACCTCTTCTAAACATTAATACTTCATAATTCTGGACACTAAGTTCATAGACACCTCAGTGACTGCCCATAAAGTACAGTGCAGTTTGCAGAAAGCCCTTCACATTAAACCAGAGGCTCACTCATAATATGAATCTAGCTTTTCTCATAATGTTTCCAGTAAATCTTAAAAAGTTAGCGTTAGTGTGGCAATTACAAAATAATCAGGCTATACAAGAAACACGACCACTTTTGTACAATAACAAGCTTGAGTTTCTTTTGGCTTTAACACTGTGGAGATGCACTCAGCAGGAGTTTGGTTGTGGTAAGGACACATGGAGACAAAGACCCTGAATAAAGTCAGTTCCAGTTCACCATCAGCAGCCTGGACCACTGCACCAACATTAACACAAGAGAAGCAAAACAACCTGCTCCCATTCTGTTCTGAGGATCGCCAGCAGGCAACCATTGTAAGGACTGCCTGTCTCTCACCTCTTCCTCCATCATTCAGGTTCATCAATGAGTTACTCACAGTCAAGGTGGGACATCAAGCTGCAGCTGGTAGATTGGTCCTCTCATCCGGCCTCTGACAGGTTGATCAGCTTTTTAACACATCACTCTGGCCTCGGGACAAAGATTCTGGCTTTTCCACCCTGATGCTGATGAGTTGAGACTGGGACTGCACTTGATAATGTCTGTGCCAACTTTAATTTTGTCTACTTTGTTGTTTACGAGTTTATTTCTTGTTCTCTGTTCACACAAATGATCCTGTTCTACTTTATGTACTTTGTGTTTCATGACATTATCGTTTACCATTATAGTAATAATAACCCTAAGGCTTAGTGAAGCAGCAGAGCGTAGATCATTAGAGAGCACTGCATGAGCTCTGCAGAAGCCCCGTACCTGCCAAGGAATGTGACGCATGCGTGTGTGCACATTACTTAGCAGCGTGCTACCTCGAGTTAAAAAAGCACAACTGCAGTAGTTTTAGCGACTGGGTACTTAATTGACTTGTCCGTCAAGCTTTGTATGTGAAATTCTGATGTACACTATTGATCTTTGCTTCTCACCCTCTGATGAGTTATTGATTTCTTCACATGACAGTAATGTAGGTACAGTTAAGGTGCAGTTCATCACAGCTGATGATGCAGTAGCTTCCAGGAAGATAACAAACATGTCCGAATGTGATCTAAGCAGGTCAGAAGACTAAATCTGTCAATGTAGTAAATTGCTGGTCACCGTTGTAGCATTATTACACTGACCTGAGATTAACACATTGTGAGCTTCTACCATTTTCTACTGATGGTGTATTTATTACTCTCTTGCAGTTTCTTTGAGATTTTCTCATGTGCAGTTCCAAATGATCACCTCAGCTATTTCAACAAACCTAATACAGTAATAATGTTAATACTGCATTGATTTATGGTTTTAAGACTTCATCACTTCCACAGTCACTACACTATCTGGCATTTTGGGCATCAGCTGCTACATGCGAGTATATCACTGAATCAGCAATAAAGTTTTTTGCATAGATGCCTGTTCATTGTCAATTGTAGGTTATGTCCTTGTTTGTTTTTTCCTCAAGTCTTTAAAGATTAGAGTTGATCATTATCAGCTTTTTTTAAATCAAACACAGAGAAGATTCAGACATTCTCCACTGCACCAGCTCACTGCTACTGTCAGAAACACTCGGCTTCACAACAGCCTTATTCCAGTGTATAGTTACCCCACAACAACACTGTGAATACATTAGAACTTTCTGTTTACACAGAAAGAGGAAATGCTCTCCACCTATCTAGACACAACGTCCCCTGACCTGAGATGTTGTGGGAGCAGAAGTGACAGATTTTTTTCCTTTCAAGATGAATTCATGTATAATTAAAATAGCGCAATAGCACATTAGTGTTTATGATCAGGTGTGTTCTACTTTAACATTAAAATGTTAGCTCCATCTTTAGTATTAGTGTCCGTACACGATAATTGGACAAATCCACCTCATATTTCAGACTATTTGGGAGCAAGATTCTGGTGATATTACACTTTGTCTCCATGAAACTTAAATATAGCTCCTTGCAACTCCTCTAATATAGATTTGTTAGTATAATGGTTTCTGCCCCTTATTAGGACCATGACAGAATGAGTTGTTGGAAATAAAGGAAATCATAAGCTCAAACAGGCCACAAAACTAAATATACACTGGAATAAGGGGCTTTATAATATCTGTTGCCAGCAGTACCAAAGATGCACCACTGTCATTCTACAGCCAACTGGAATAAACACACAACTTCTGTATTTTGACGAACTTTCATCTCCATTTGATTATTAAAATGAAGTTTGTTTTGTAATTGCTCAGTGTCCCACAACGTCTGACCGTTCATTAAGATGCAAAATACCTCAAAATACTTCAGTTAGTTTCATTGAAGTAATGGTGAACTCAACAAGACCACAAGAATTTCTGAATTTGAGGACAGCGGGTGTTTGTATGGGATCTGACTATGTGAGATGTGTTCCTTATATTTGTACTGACCTGTTTAAACATAAAAAAAAAAATTAGTCATGCCGAGTTCTTGTGATGGAAGGGCATCTGAATTCCTGAGTATCATTTTTTCCCTTGTGTTTATTAATTTTTTAAGCTGATAATGAAAATACTATCAGTCCTCTTGGAAAAACGCAGTTCATCAGACAGCGGGCAGCTTCTATACGACAGTGGCAGTGATCCATTTGGCCTGTAGCAGTTTGAGTGGGTAAAGCTGTTTAAACAGTGTGTAAATGACGCAGGAAGCAGCTGACAAACAATGGCAGATGATGGAAATGCTGTATAAAACATCTGTTTAGTGTTGGGAGAGACAGTGCCGCACATTGCATTTAGATTGTTCCATTACCAGCTATATAAATGTGTTTAATAGTCCATTGTTTGAGGGTCTGTTGGGACAAATGGCTCTTTGATTATCTGCCAAATGAACCTGTCAATTCAGGCGGGCACAAGCAAGAAGGGCCAGATTGAAATAAACTGAAAATCACTACCAAGCATTGTGCTGGTCACATTTGGAAACACACCATTGATTTCAACCAGGGACTGCTCTAAGAAGCAGGTTTACTGAATCACCAGATCATTTGGTTAACCAGCATCTTAGAACAGAACTGGAAACTGTTTGCTAAACTGTTCTCATGAATATCTTTACTCTTTGTGTTGCAGTGACGTTAGCTTATTGCATCAGCCTCATCGGGATTCAGTAGGTCTGGTTACTTTTTCCTTCAGCTCAGTTACCCTGCACAGCCTCAAGATATCTTTCTGTCTTGAAGCTCTACTGAATAATAATAAGTCAGACAAAGCAGGATCATTTTCTTACATTTATTTTAACACAAACTGGCAAAGAGAGCCAATTCATTTGAAGTGTCTACTTCAGCTTCTTCTTGGGGCGAAGGTTGTTGGTGTGTCCACACTTCTTCTTGCGACAGTTGACAGCACGTGGGTGCAGACGGGCATAGCATCTGTATCACAAACAAATCAGTCAGATTAACTACAAGAAAAACTTTCCTGAATCACATTTTAAGTTAGTTAAATTTACAACACTTCATTTCTAGTGAAAAATATGTACATTTGAGTCACATTTAAAATATCGAGTGATGATGTGAAAGAAAGTTGAAACATTGACACTAACTGCAACATCAGCTAACATCTAATGAAATGAAAACACATTTATATTGTTGTTTCAGGTATGTACTTTAACAAACTAGATGGCCAACTGCCCACAGTGCCCCTTAAGAAATGTTGTAATCTTAACTCTAACCCACCAATTAACTGCACAACAGCAGCACTGCGCACAAACAATATCTTCAGGACTGGACTTACTTGCGGCAGATCATCTTGTCGCAGTTGTATTTCTGGGCCAGCTGCCTGAGTGAAGGCTCGATGATACCACCACGCAGACGCAGAACCAGATGCAGAGTGGATTCTATAGAACAGTTAAAACACATTGATGCCAGTTTTAACTTCAGCCACATCCACATAGATTTCTACAACATCCTCTGTACTCTAACATCTCACAGACACACACAGTAAAAGGTTCTCCTTTAAAATGATGCAGTATCATCTCTACACTTTGGTTTCATGTTTAAACACACAATATAAAATTGCATTGTATAATTTATTAAAACTATCATACTTGAGACTTCCAGGTGACCCCTTTTTATAAACTTGAACCCTTTCCCGTAAAAATAATATTTTTATAGAAAGAAACAAATCAATGGTTTGGGACAACACACACATTTGGCACATCTGGTCTCCTCTTACCTTTCTGGATGTTGTAGTCTGACAGTGTGCGTCCATCCTCCAGCTGTTTGCCAGCGAAGATCAGACGCTGCTGATCAGGGGGAATTCCTGCAAACAATCAATAAGACGGATCAAGCAACTAACATTCACATTTAACACACATGCGACAGCCATCACTGAGAGACTGACCCTGAAATATCACATTATTCCTGCTAACAGTCATGACTTTAAAAAAATATATAATAAAAATACTAAAAATCACACGTTCTCTCAATATAATTTCTGGGAACATGTTGGCCTGACAAGAAGACCAGCTTCCTGTCTTCTATCAGATCTATTGAACTCTTTTTAAAACTCGCCGCTCAGTCAAACTGAAGTTCCCCAGTTTACGTGAATTATCCAGACTCAGATGTGACTCACCTTCCTTATCCTGGATCTTAGCCTTGACATTTTCGATAGTGTCGCTGGGCTCAACCTCGAGGGTGATGGTCTTCCCCGTCAACGTCTTCACGAAGATCTGCATGTTTGCAGGCTGGAAGAGAAAACTGACGTTAGCTGCAGGAGAAGCTAAGTAGCTAGCTCTAAAAGCAAAAAAAAGGGTAACGACAGAAAGACCAGCCACTGAACACGTACATGAGATATTTAACAGTAATGTGGAGCCAAGATTTGTTTCTTTAAACTCTGTATTGACAACACTTGTGTAGAAAGTTAAGGTGGAGACACAGCTAGCTGCTAGCTGTTAGCCGCACACTGGACTCTGTGCGGGGCCTCGCCACATGCGTGTCGTTAGCGTGGCAGTCTGCCGGTTTTCTCTATTTTCTGCCTCTGAACCGACTCAGTAACCTTCAATACCCGACTACTGACGATACACGACGGACCATGTTTTGTTTAAACCACATTCAACCCACCAGAGATCGGTAAAACTCGACATAATGTGCTGAACTAAACGAGCACTCACCCGGCCGCTAGCTGAGCCTCAACGAAAAGAGAGCGGAAACGGTGTGTCGCTGAAATACGTCACTTCCCTTCGGTAAGTTTCCTTTATGTTCATAACACGTTTAAATAGTTTATTCTTCATGATTTTACCCACAAACCAAACTAATTACTTATAAATCTGTAAATGTGTAATGACCTTAAATATCATCTCATTTTGATTTAGTCCCATAACCCCTGAAATAACGTCCAGAGTAATGGATTCACATTAATATCAATTTAAAACTCACATTGTGCAAAAATAATACGATAATAAAAGCAGACTGTAGACTGGACATATGTATAGATGAACATAACCACCCACTATATGTATGTTAACTGATTTCTTAAAAAATGTAGGCGGTTTTTTTTCACTGATTGAGATAGTTCATATAAAATATATCCAAATGTATTATCATACATTAAAAGAGGAATTCTCAAGCCACACAACAGTATATGCATTAATTTAAATCAGACACAGCATGCACAACATTGATTAATATACTAATTATATAAAACATAAATATACTACAAATTATTTGAAATCGGCCATTCTATAGAGTAAGACTTTTACTTTTGGAAGTTTAACATACTCAGGAAATGGACATGTTTTTGGATCTGACGATCCAGGGCAGCAGAGATTCCTGCTGTCAGATTATTATCACTAGTGGTGACTTTAGAAGAAATCTACAGAAGCAAAAAGACAAAATGTAGTTTAATAAAACCTGAATGTGCATTGGGTGGTTTACCTACTCATATGAGACAAGAAGTAAAACATTACTATTGCATGAAAAAGAACGTTACGGCAAATAGAGGAACCAAACACTTTTTGTTGTGATACAGCTCAAGTACTTTTTTTCACCACAATGTTGTTCCACAAATAGACCAAGGAGGGCGTCAGAGAGCAGTGTGACTCACAGCTCAGTGGAGCCTAATTAGAAAACACTTGAGAGAGGCTGATGAGTCACATTCTGACTTGTGTGCACCTTAGATGATGAGTTTTACAGATACACGTCTCTTTGCTGAAGACAACTGTTTCAAAATATCTGACATCTCATTCAAAGTGACCTGAACCCACACGTGCAGCGAGAACAGTGTGTTTTTTTACTTGAATTCTAAATAAAAGTAACTTTATATACTGTGCATGCACTCCAAAATGTCATGTCTAACCTAAGCCTTCATGAGGTGTCACATTTTTATTTGACAGCAACCATTTAAAAAGCTTTCAATATAATTGCCTTAGCAACATGATGGGTCAGAACCATACTTCTCTGCAAGTTGATATTGTCAGATTATCTAAGGTAGAGCTGAATTATTCATAAGAATCTTGGAAAAAGGAACTGTGTCCACTCAAGGACAGCAAGCAACAATTGTTCTCATTGTCGATTGATCTTATCATTGTTTTTTCTTTAACATTAGTAGTTTGATCTATTTAGCTTTAGAAAATAGTGGAAAATTAACATCCAAATGCCCTAGAATCCAAATGGTCAGATTTCCTGTTTGTTTGACCAACTAAAGAAAAAACTAATATTCACAATATAAAAACTGAAACCAACTATGTTTTGGCATTTATGCTTTAAGATTGGAATCGATGATACAAATTGTTAAATTAATTATACATTTCCTCAAGGTTTCAGCACTGTTTAGTAACTTGTACCAGTCCTGCTTTTTCTAACAAAAGCAAAGCCACATAGAATGAAATCCAGTTGCATATAGTTCTCCATGACTAACCAGTCTTTTTTTCCCTTCCTGGTAAGCATTACTACCTAAGAGTGAGCAGTAGGTTTCGTGTTTCCTTTTTCTGGAATTAAATGGTGCAAATGAATAGGTATGTGTCCACTCACTATATTTGGCCTAGTAACAGGACACCATGCATTTGTTTCTCTGCAGGAGCAGCAACAGTATCAACATCATCATGTTCCACAGCACAGAGGTTTCCATGGTGAGGCAGTGTGCTACAGACGAAGATGGCTGGCTTCACCAAAGAGTTTCTTTAACGTAATGAAGACACCGGTGGAATCAAACATGACAGCGGTGGTGAAAACACAGAGTCCAGCCCATCCTGTTGCGTTACTCCTGCCTACCAACATCTCATTTCGGGACAAGGACAATTCACATGCATATTCAACCCAGTTCCAGGATGACTTCCTGCCTTGGTCTTCCAAAAAAGCAGAACGTGTTCCTAAGCCCACCCCGGCCCAGGTGGACCACAAGGACTTGAAGCATATCAAGGAGTACGTGACAGAGGCGATGGCTTCCTACCAGTGTCACCCACTGCCACAGAGGACCCACACACCACAATGGACCAGGCTTCGCACCAACTTCAAGATGCAAACAGACCCAGGGGAAGTTGCTTTCCTCTCCACCCACTGCCAGAAATTTCAGGCTTGGCCCCTCCAGGTCCGTCCCACACCCATCAGACCAACACAGGCCGTCACGACTAACCAGCATATGGAAGAGCTTCCAGAAAGCACCAACAGATCCACTTTCACTCCACACCACAGTCCTCCTATTGTAAAAGCCACAGCAAAGCATCTGGGTGAGTGACATCATTTTGAACTTTAATCTTGTTCTTTAAAACAATAAACTCATATTAGGTTATGCATTCTGTATGATTGATGTGAATATTCATTAATTTGGTTGGGAATGAACTCCTAAACATTCAAACAAAAACATCCATGCCTTGTGATAAATAACAGTGAAGGAATCTGAGTGAAGCTGCAGAAACGATTGTCTGGTCAAATTAGAAATTTCAGGGTTTAAAATGTAACAATGTGATGTGCTTCTTAAAGAGGGCTTCCCCACAATAAAAGGGGATGAGCGCCATTGCAACTTTGTCTCACATTACAAAGACACCTTCCAGGGAGCCTGGAGCAGAGCTGCTCAACCTGTGGACAAGGTAACAGCAGCAGCGACTTTTGATCATGAGCCAACGTGTTAAGTCAACCGGAACACAGATAACTCTATCCCTAAATATTGTACTAGAAGTCCAAAGGTACTAAGCAGTGTTGAAAAGCAACAAAGTCCAGTCACTCAGAAGATGAACCGAAGTGTAAGATCATTACTTAACTTAACCATGTTCATTCTTTTGACTTACATACTTTGAATGTTAAGATTTTACAATTAATGCTTCACACTTCTGTGGCTTACTCTAAGACTACTAGGTAATAGTAAAGGGTCTGAATCCAGAATCCATTTTCTCATTATGAAAATACACTTTGACACTGGAGTGACAAAGTATGATGCTTTCCATTAAATGAGTGTTATCAGCACAAGACTGTGACAGCTACTGTTTGTCACGTCTTTCCACAGCACTCCTCCTCAGTGATTATGGGTGACCCTGTGAAGATTGTGGAGAGAGAAACAACCCACAGTGCCTCATTCAGCCGGCCCACAGCCTGCAGGTCTGCAGCTTTTCTGCTCCACTGATAAAACTCTCTGTCTCTGGATGTGGATCTGTCTCAGTTATCAAACTGACATTTTATTAATTCAAGGCTTCAATAACCTTAATTGTAAAGTGGTCTAAAAATCAGCTGTTAAATGTATCCCCATGCAAATGCACTAAAAGCACTATCTGTGTTTTTGATACAGGCCAGGAGTGGTCAAAGAGAGTGTGAAGCTCCACCTTGGAAATTTTTCAAAGACCTCTTGGTCGTCTACTTCCAAAGAAGCTTATTGCTATCACAAGCTGGGTGAGTGTTTTCTGCAGGTCTTACTAAAGGTCCAGCTTTGATGCTTAATGACCCATTAAACTGTCGAGCCATGACTAAAATAAATAGCTGCTCCGGGCCTCCAGGAATGTAAAATCATCATTAAACAATGACCTCGTGTTTCTTTTGCACTGCTTGTATTTGAGCTGTACATTTACATATATTCCCTTCATGGTGACACTTCTCAGAAATCCAGTTTCTTGCAGGGTTTCACCTGGATGACCTTGATTTCCTTTTATCTTACTTGTATCTAGAACCAATCAGACCAAGACGACCCAGTATTACAGATGAAAATAGTCTTTATTTTCTCAGGTGCTCCAGTTGTGCTGACAAGGAAAAACAAAAACTCCAGTTCCTTACCGAGGGGAGACACTGATACGATTCGCAACAGAGAGAGAATGTCGGTCACCACTAACAGAGTCTCTTTCACTGATGTGAGACAACAGATTTGTCTGTTTAATTTGTTTTTGTGCTGGTAAATAATGTATAAATCATAAAGTGAACATTTTTCACTTCAGATTTTAGTTGGTGTGCCACATAGACTGTATCTAAAGATGGAGGATGCATTTCCACTCCCTCCCACTATCCAGAAATCAAGCCATAATATACCATGGATATGATGCCATCTTGTGCCGATCATGGCATTCTGTCTGCCCAGTTGTTATCGGGGAGGCAGCCATGACATCAAGGTCCCATCATTATATATGTCTGTCCTTTCTCAAGTCAACCATTTTTATAGCATTAGATAATAAAACCAAACTTACCTGAAAAATGAGTGCTAACACCTTTGACGTGTATTTTACATTTTTTGTTTGGCCCATGTCCCAGCTGCTAACATGGAAGAGGCACGATTTATGACCTGTACTGCAGCCAGCCACCAGGGGACCACCAAGACACTTTGACTTCACTTTAGGGGAGTCATTTGTTGTCCTTTATATACAGTCTATGGTACGGCAGTAAACCATATATGTTATTTCTGATCATGCTGACTGAGTTACTCTTTCAAGCCGCCCCCTGCAGAGCGTCTAGTGTATGTGCCTGGGTCTGACCTGATGACCAAAAGCAACGTACAGTTCAGCCCAGCTCTTACATCAGGCCTGTACTACACAACCACAGCAAAACATCACTACGGCAAAAAGGAGGGAGAACCGGCCCGACCAGCCATCCAGCTCCATAGCAACATACTGAGTGGGCCAGGTGATGTGACGATTGCGCGATTAGCCCTGTTGTGTGTATACAGGGAGATACATGTAGATATTGAATGTGTGTAATCTGTTTGGTAGAACCTGTGCCAACCCTCAGCACCACCCAGGCTGACTTTCTCCCTCTGAGGGCCTGTAAACAGACACCTTGTCTGTCACTGCAGCAGGTGAGAGATGACAAAATAAACTCAAACATATTTAATCCTCCGCTCTCTGTAACAGTTGCATTCGCATCAGAGATGTAATAGTTGTCATAGTGGTAATCATATCATTGTACTGTCTATTTTTGTCTTTTCGCACAGAAATATTTACATATTAATGATACAATTGTTATCTGATAATCAAATAGAGTAACATCAGGTTTCCACTGGCTGGGCCACGCTTCAGCACCACCCACAGTGAAGACTACACCTCCAAACCTCTGATCGTGCAGCAGCCAGGCCGCAGCCACTTTCTCTCTCATTGTGTCGTGAAGTGACTGACAATCAGAATTTGGTGACTGGCTCCTGTGTTCTTGCTCCTGACGGAAGATATAAAAACAAATCAAATCAAATTTTTTATTTCCGTTTTTTTTGTCGTTTTTCTGAAAATGCTGCTGAGACTGTGTCCAGACATTAATTGATGCTACAGAGGCTAAGAGTTCAAAAGGGAGCTGTTCTGAATTTTATTTTCAAATATATTGTTTTCTCGCCATGAAATCTTCATTATTGTGCAGTATTGGATACATTTTGCTTTTTCGTGAGGCTGGTTGCAGGGCATTTGGATTTTAGACCCCTCTATGAGTAAGTGAGTAAAATATATATGAAAACTGGAAGGGCACTAACCTCTGCGAAGCCTGAGACTGTGTTGTGAGATGACTTTTTTGGGTGTGCATGTCTCCAACTCCACTGTCCTACTTCCACCCTGTTTACACTGTCAATGCCGAACTGCTAGGAAGAGGGTTAGCACAGAGGGATCCTCATCCTCATTCCCTCCTTCAAGCACGATTGACTAAACTTTACAAAACTCTGTAAAAACAATCTATGTTGTAGCAATAACACAGCCATGACCCTGAGATGCAGGTTCTGCTGATAAAAGAAGTTGGCAGGCGAGCTGATGTAAGTAAACTGAAAGTGGAGTTCATAAACACAGTCAGACAGCAGCAGTCCAGGTACGAGCTGGAACTTTCACTGACCAAAGTTCAGATTCAAGTCCATGTGTACAGCTTTAATTTCATTACCTCCACCATCCGTTCGGGCAGAGTTACACAAAACTACGGAGCGGATTTTCTTGAAACTTAGTGGAAGGGTGGGGTATGAGCCAAGGAAGAACCATTAACATGTTGCAAGTTAGGGCATTTAAATATATTTTAAAATTAAGAGTCATTCAAGTTTATCCTTTAATTAACCAGGAAGGACAAGAAGTTTAGCAGGTATTTTTCATGTTAGGGTACAAATGAGTACTTCTACGAGAACACACAAATCAGACACAATGAAAGCACATGGTACATGGTTGTAAATTAATCTCCAGAATAAACTGAAGAGTACTTGTCTTATTTTACTTGTTGGCAGTCAAGTCTAAAAAGCTTTTACAGGAGTTTACCGATTAATTGAGAAATCAGTAGTTCATTTTGCTGACATGTTTTACACTGATTATGCTCAAATGTCTACAACAGAATTATTAAAACTGGAAAGGTCACAGTTGTAATTTATAAATATGCCCTTGAGCAGGACCTGCTACCTGCTCACTCATTCATGTAGATTGCTTTTAAATGATCAGGTAAATAAGGATGAATTGTGCACTTAATATTATTAATTGTATGGTCTTTAAAGAAAAAATACTGGCTGAGTATTCAGCACCATAGAAACCTGGTGATGCTGAATGTGGTCAAATCTCTTGAGTCCATGTTGTCTGTGATCAAGTGTTTTATATGATCCAGTTTTAATATTATTGATCTGTGTGTGTGTGTTTGTTACTTTCATTGATGAAACTGTGTCGCTGCTATTCTCGGCCAGGTCTCACTTTTGCAACATCTCTTTGGTCTCAGTGGGACTAACCTGGTTAGACAAAGGCTAATAAACAAAAAACTAGAATGGCCTTCAGTAGAGCACATACCTTCACCTAAATTCAAACAAGTTGCACAAACCCATAGATATCAGTTTCCTGAATGTGCCTGACTCTCTCAGTGCGACAGCGTGAGGAAAAACTATTAACAGGGAAAAAAACGCAGAAACCTCAAAGATTAGAAGAAACAGTTTGTAAAATAAGTCTTTATACACGAGAACATGTCAGAGATGAAGGGAGCAGCAGTGACAAATGAATTGAGGAGTTTTTGTCAGTAATGGTAGAATATGTGAGCATGAGTCTTTATATCTGAATGAGGTTCTGCTCCTCGAGATCCACCAGTACACAATAAAAACCTCATTCTGAAAGGTGCTGCTGTGAATCACCTTGTTATTGTGCCTCTTCTTCCTCCTCCGTCCTCCTCCTCCTCTTTCTCATCCTTTTCCTCCTTCTCCTCTTTCTCCTTCTCCCTTTTCTCCTCCTGCTCTTTCTCCTCTC